TAGCTATTAAAAAATATTACAGTTTTTTAGTTGATCTTTATTTGCCCGTTAAAAAAGACTTTTGAGTGATGTATCATCAAATTACCAAGAAATTGACGTTAAAAAAGTACCAATTGATCTATATATCAGTGAGTAAAAGTTTATGATGGGATTACATATATATAAATTGTAAGATATTATCTTTTTAACAAAATAAAATTCAAAAGTAGGAAATAATCATACGTACACTTAATTTGTTTTTACTGAAATGATACTTACGTTCACTTTTTCATATAAAAATCAAAAAATAAAATAATCTATTTATTAGGTAGCTATCGTCGATAACATGATGAGTCCTCCTAATCACGAAAAAAAAAACTAGAAATAGAAATAGAAATAGAAATGCATCGAGATAATTCTTGAAGAAATCACTGAGAAACGTAATGGCTGTATTTTTTATTTTTTTTTAGTGGTGTTCATATCTAACCGTTAAAACTATTTAATATTTTTTAGTTTATGATGAGATTGTATTATATATATATATATATATATATATATATATATATATATATACACGCACTCTTTGTTTTTACTGGAATAATACTTCCATTTTTATACTTCTTATTTAGAAAGTATAAATTAAGATAAACCATTATTCACTAGATATATGAATCCTCCTCATCATCAAAAGATAAAATAATATATATATATATATATCGAGATAATTTTGAAGGGACTACAAATAGACATCTCGTCTCAAAATAATTTTTTTCCTGTTATTATTTTATACGTAACGCTGCCCAATATGACAGAGAACAATATCTAACTAGAAGACGACGATGCTAACGAGGGAGAAATCTTTGAGGGACATATGGTCGGGTGTCTCAGGCAAGGGTGGGTCCTCAAAGAGAATCCATTTTGCTGCAAAATAGCACAAACACTAATCATTCTTATTTCTTAGCTTAGCTATTGCTATAGCCAGATAACAAATCAGGGGACCAAAAGCAACAATTAACCAACGACTCACATACGGTTAAAATTATAAAAATAAAATGCATATGATATGGTTTGATAAAGATATTGTTCACCCCACCACCGCTGCACAGATTCTTTGATCCATACAAAAACAAAATCCCTCGACGTGAGAATTTGTTTCAGATCTACTATTACCCATTTCGCTGCGCACCGTAGTCACCGTCGGCAGTGTCGCGCATGCTAATATAAATATATACCTTAGTATTAAAATTATACTATATACTTTTTTTTTCATGTTAAATTTATACTATATATACTTAGAGTAGCTAAATACTGAAATTTCTTTCTTTCTTTTACACATGCAATGTGGGTGTCTAGTTGACATGGTTTGTAAACCTATGTGGGTGCCAAGTGCCAACTCATAGGAGCAAGAGCAGTAAGCACATGGACCAAAAGAATTCCAGATACGTAATAATGGTAGATTGTATTTTATTCTTTTCTTTTTCCATGCGCACCCCAGGATCAGACAATTATTTGGACTACATTGATCTTGCTTTGAACTCTGAAGAGTATTTTTGCTTTAGAGTTCGCACTAGTCCCAAGAAATTAATGTACTTCTCCGTAATATATTGATTGCAATTGGCAGTGGGATCCGGAATTATATGTGGTACTATAATTCGAAACTTTACACCAATTATGATTTATAATGAATATTGGTCCCCTAAGGGCGTTGGGGGCTTTTGAATTTGGTTTTCTTGTATGCATCATTGCTGTACATATGAAAGGAAAACTTTGGGATAGATAGAAAAGAACTCTCATGGTGGACCTAAAGAACCACTTGACTGCACCCATAACGAGGTATTAGTGTTCAAATTTTTGACCAACATCATAACGCGGACCACATACATATATACATATACAACTTATGCCTGAAAGAAGGATAATCAATTATAAGCCTAACGGTATTATATTGTAGAAAATTATTACATAAACTTTTTCTAATTCATGTTTATCTATCAGTTAATTTTTTTTTAATATATATATATTATATTTTTTTTAAAAAATATTTTTTACATTTTTATAATTTTAATTAATAACTAAAACTATATTATAACTATCGGTCTTCTGTATTGTATACATGGATGGATAAGGCTTTAACAGGATATATAGCCTATATATATGCCAACAATTTTGGTTGGACGAGATATGGTTTTATATTAGTTGCGTTCCCTCCAGGGCAGAATGACCCGCGCTTAGCGCTTTTAATCCATGCATAAAAGAAATAATCGATATAGATAGAAACTTAGATATATGCATGCAGGTAATAGTAGCCCAAGACAATTTAAAAAATCAAGAGAGTAAAAAAAGTATGTTAACGTCGTACGTGTGCCATACATATATATACTTAATTGATACCCTTTTAACAAAACAGGAAAGGAAAAATAATAGGAAGCTTAAGAAGATGAGTATCTAATTCTAAGGGCAAAAACATACAAAATTTTTCACTAAAAAAATGCATCCGAAAAAAATTTCCCGCTTTAAATATTTTTGAGGAAAAACTCCAGCTTTTAAATTTGTGTGGTGTTACATGGCCTTTTTTGAACTTTCATTTGGTTTCTTTAAGAAAAAGAAAGAAAGAACAAAAGAAGATCAAAAAAAGCAACTCGGGTGTAGGATGTAAAAACACGAAGCTTGAGAATGAAGTATGTTCACAGTTTTGAAGATTTTTATCTCAAAAGGTGATACTTATTGTTAATTTACAAGATACCTACTGATCACAAAGGCATATATCATATGCACGGCATGTGCATATATACATGGCCAAAAGCCAAGCGTACACTATAGCATTATTGAGTTTTTGTAATCATACGCACAGAAATCTTTAGTTGCATGTGCACATGTCATGATTCAGTGAGTTAACAACATTTTTCACTATGGAAAAAATGAGTATTTTTTCATTTAGTCCAAAGGGTACTTATAATTGTGGCTCTTTCATTGGTTTATCTCTCACAAGTCATAATTTTCATGAGATGAGCAATAGTTTTATATACTTCGGTGCCACAAATTAGAAGTCAGTACTATAAACAAAATTGTGATCCTATACATATTGCAATTGGGGTTTTTGGTTTTCTGGGTATTTCATCTTTTCGTGACCCTTTACCAACAGGCAAAGTGCACTCACCGCATGATTTTACTGTCCACGGCAGAAGCTAACAAGTAACAAGTACCTAGAAGGAAGAGTACAAACACTGATGAGTAGCAATGATAACATGCTTATGATTGAAACAATAATAACCTGTTTTTCTATTAAAGCAGATAGGAAATGACCATCCAATGGTAACAGAAAGACATATCCATATATACTCATTCATCACAAGAACGAATTAATTAGCTATGAAGTCAGGTGAAGACAGTAACGTGGGCACACACACTTTATTCACCTGACACTGTATGTACTTTGGGTCCTGTAGAGTGGGGTGTGTTCCTCACGCAAACTATATCCTACATGTTATTCATCTTCTACTTAGTGGATAAAGATAGCATCCTCGTTTCTCTTTCGGATATCACCCTTATGATGAAAGCTTTTCAGTTTATTCCCTAGCACCCCACACCAACCCGCCTAGTTGTGGAATATCAGTTCAAAGTTTGAATTTAGCTATGATAAATTAATTTAAAACAAGAATAAAGCCATACATAGACATATATTATATTAGGGGTAGGGCATGGTACTAGCTCGACGAAGAAAACTGCAGTCCACAGATGGCATGAAATAAATAGACATATATTATATTAGGGGGAGGGAATGGTACTAGCTCTACGAAGAAAACTGCAGTCCGCAGATGGCATGAAAGCATTCAATTTTTTATTTTTTTTTAGAAAAATTTAAAAAGATAAAGGTTATGATTTTAGTATATATACAAAGTCCTAATTTTAGTACTATTAATCAATTTGGTGCTAATACTGTAACAAAAAATAGTTATAATCTCTGATTTTTATCATCATTACTTGATTTAATTTATAAGTTTGGAACTATTTAATCAAATTAGTCTATAACAACATCAAATTTGTTAATTTAATGGCCAACTTCAAATTTTACACTACATTATTAATTAAGAATAAAATAATTTAATATGCATAAACATTTGAGACTAAAAGCTAATCGTTAAAGTAGAAGATTAAGTTTTTTCAATAATGACAATGATTAAATTGATCCACTATAGCAATTTTAGGGGCACGTTTAATTTAATATATGACAACAATAAAGTGCATATTTAATTCGTTTATTTTAAAAAATAATAAATTATTTTCATTAATTTTGTAAATATATTTTTAAATGATTATTTCCTTTTAAAAAATTCTCATTCAAATATATACTAATTAATAATTTTGCACTAGAAATTAATATTTGGAATTTTTAATAATTATTATATTATATTTTTAATAATAATAATAATCTAATTAGGAATTTTGTGAATAATATAGTGTTGCGTAGGGAAAGTAAGAAAATAAGAGAGGAGATGCACGTGAGAAGCACGGAGGGAGAGTAAGAGCGCGCGTGAGAAACGAGAATATATCCCTTGCTTGTGGGAGGAGGTGGAGTGGGTCCAAACGGTTTATGTGGGGCTTACAAGTAGAGTGCTCTTTCGGTATGCGTTCTTTATCGGGGACCCAAATATTCTCAAGCTTCTGTCACGTCAGATACGACTAGCGTGACGTATCTTATAGCCATTCCCCAAATCACCATCAACGCTTCTCATTCTTCCACGTCATCCTCATGGAAAAATCGAACCGTCCATTCTGTCCCTGAAGATTTAGTCAAGTTGAGTATAAGCTATTGGCATTAATGAGACATGTCAAGGCCCCACCTTTGTTGTCACCGACGGGTTTTGCACACTGTACCACAGCGACAACATGCCACCTCTCACTCACTACCCTCAACTTTTTCTTCCTTCTTATTCACTGTCCCGTCCCATGTAGCAACCCACACAAACACATGCTATGCTACCAATCCTATTCCTCTCTTCTTCTCACTTCACATTATTCCTCATCTTCTCTCTTCCACTTCTTATCTCTCTTCTTCCATGCAATGCCCTTCACAAACTGCATTAAGTAGTAGTGCCACTTTAGTTTTTATACACTACTTCATCAGAAGAGAACAGGTTGACTAAGGTCCCGGTTCAGTACTTTTACTATTCCCAATCACTAGTGAATGGGTTTATCTTCTTTGCACGTTTGCATGGAATCATCAGATCATTGGTTGCAGGTATATCACTATATGTTATACCATGCACATGAAAATGTACAATATATTTCCCTCTTATTTTCTTTATCATATGCTTCCACGATAGAGAAGAATGCGCACTTATGGACGATGATTTGAACTCCATTGAGAACTCATCATGCTTCTAAGTTCTCACTCATTAATCAAATCATTGATAAAAATCGCATGCAGTTGGCTAGAGTTTCTGTTCAAGGTTTTTTCTAATGAACTTGCATTTCAGTTATTAATTAGCTGGATTACTATATAGTATATACTGTGTCTTTGGCATTGCATTCTGAGTGGGACTACGTTTGGTTTAAAGGGGAGGGGGAAAAAAAGAAGAGAAAGCAAAGGAAAGGAAAATTAGGAAGAGAACAAAAAGAATGAAAAGAAAAAGACATCATATAAACGTATACTATATTATTCACTTGTTTCTTTTATGCGAAATGTCAGGGCACAATTCACGAGGAGTCTGGAATGGATTCTTCTTCACCATCTGGGGACATGCTTACATGTTCAAGGCCCATGATAGAGAGGAGGCTAAGACCACCACATGACCAAGCTCTAAAATGCCCAAGGTGTGACTCAACCCACACCAAGTTCTGCTACTACAACAACTACAGTCTCTCTCAGCCAAGGTACTTCTGCAAGACCTGCAGAAGGTACTGGACCAAAGGAGGCACTCTTAGGAACATCCCAGTTGGAGGAGGTTGCAGAAAGAACAAAAAAGTCTCTGCCAAGAAGTCCAATGAGCACCAATTAGTTAACAATCAAATGAATCAAGCTCAACCCCCACCCTCCTCCTACCATCACAACCCAAAAGATCTACAACTTTCTTTCCCAGATGTGCAATTTTCCCACCTCAGTAACCTGCTTGGGACTAGTGCAGGGGCATTGGGAAACCCTAATTTCATGGAGAGCAAGTATGGCATTGGCATGCTTGAGAACCCTAGGCCTATTGACTTCATGGAAAGCAAGTTGGACGGCATAATTGGGAGTAGCAGTTCTAGGAATTTTGATTTTTTTGGAAATAGTGATATGGGTATGGGTGTTGGGCTGGGAGACATGCATAGTACACAAAATGGGTTGCCACCAAATTTTCATGGTCTTTGTTCCCCTGCATTTGCGGGCATGTCCCTTGATAGCAACAACAATAATGGGGCTAATTACTTAATGGACTCTTGCCAGCGTTTGATGCTGCCATATGATCATGCCAATGTGGACCATCATGCCTCAATTGATGTGAAGCCAAACCCTAAACAACTATTGTCCCTTGAATGGCAAGACCAGGGTTGTTCTGATGCAGGAAAAGAGTCTTTTGGGTATCTTAATGGTCCAGGATCATGGTCTGGCATGATGAACGGCTATGGATCTTCCACTACAAACCCTTTGGTCTAAAAGGCAATTAATCTCTCACAACTCAGTGATGCATCGATGATCAACGGCTAAGCTCTCCCTTGGCTTGGTTAATTCGATCAGTGACCTAATCAATGATCACTTTGCCTAAATATATTTTATTTTATATATTATTATTATTATTATTATTATTATATATACATAAAGCCTTTTGATGGGAGGGTTCCTCGTATTTTCCTGTGTAGTGTTTTCTTTCTTTCTTTCTTTCTATATATATATATATATATATCTCAGGGTGGTCTTATTCAGGTTTCTATTGACTTAACCAAGAGAGTGTGAATGAGAAGCTTCAGAGTCCAATTCGACTGCCGTGGTGCGTTACCTTTTAGTTTATGTTATATATATTTGTGTCTTTGTGTGCGACACGTCATGAAAGCTTTAGGATTTATGCTGTAACATCGAGGAAGATATGGTAGTTCTTTTCCAGTTAAAGAAAATGCAGTAAGTACTATATTATCTTTATGAAGACCCTTTGTCTCTATGTTTTTGGGGGGCTATTGTTTATATCCTTAATTATTACTAGTCTTTGGACTTTCCTTCTGCTTTTATTATAAGACATTTTTGAGTAATTTTCTCAAGGAATGTTCAAGAGTTCTGATGGAGTCGAAGCTTAACTGTGAATAATGATTACTGCACATTTCATGACACTGCATGAGACATGTTTCCTTTTTTGGTTACGGTAGTATATAACCTGAACCTTAAAAGGTAAAAAAAAAAAAAACAACAAAGAGAACAACGTGCAAATGAGACAAATTAAACCTAGGGATGAAAGTTATCTTGAGCTTGGTTAATAAAAAAATGTAAAGTAATTAACATTGAAATACAGCCTATTGCGGGAGACATATGCAGTGGCCGATCTTGAATAAAAGTTTTGAGGAAACCAAAAATTTTGCAAAATACAGTGTGTGTAGAGGGAATAACTTAGGTAAAAATAGTTGAATGATTAAGAATAAATGAAAATTCCCCCATGAACTTTTTAAGTGGTTATGATCTGTACCAAAATTTTAAATTTTCTATTTTTTGCTTATAATCAAATTTTTAACTGAAAGTTCATGGTTTTATTATCTATATTTAATGTTTTCATAAGTTTATAATAAAAATTGTTCTCACTATAATATTTAAATGTGAGAAAAATATAAAAAAAATATAAAAATTACTGTAGCTTTTTAGTTGGTTAAAAAAATAAAGCAAAACAAGAGGGAAACATTAGCTTTAAAAACATTCAAAATTTTCTCCCCTATTTTTTTAATTAAATTTTAAAATTTTCTCTCCTCATTTTTTCATATAAAATAACAGAGGGTAGGAATGTTTAAACTATTTAAAAGTGAACAACAGTCTTTAAAAAAAAAATTATTTTAGTCTCTTGAAATTACGATTATAAATCATATTAATATTTTTAAGGATTAATGTGTCTCACATTATATAAAGTAAACAATTTGTTTTAATTATGATATAATTTTTATTATATATTTTTTCAAATACGTTACTTTACTCGAACAATAAGTAAGAAAAAAAAGATTTATAATACTCTAATTTTTTCAATTATATTTTTTTATTTTAAAATGGAAGAGTTTTCTAAACTCAAACAAAAATAGATAGCTTTGGCAAAAAAATCTTTTGTTTAAGAAATAATGGACGCGAGAAATGTAAACTCTCAAGTAGATTTTTGCTCAAACAAAAATAATAAAATTTTCTGTAAATAATAATTTAAAGTATATTAATAATATTTAATAGTTAATTAAAATCTCAATTTTACTCTTTACTTTATTATTAAATTTAAATTTTTAAAATCTATTTCTATATTATGAATAAGATTTATCAATAAAATTTTAAGATTTTTATAACTTTTACTATTTTAAAACTTAAATTAACATGAATATTTCTTAATTCATGTAAAATATTACCTATTTTAATTAAGTTTTATTGAAATTTATGTATAAAAAGAATAGAGATGTTATATGATTTGTCTATTTTTATTTACATCATAAATTTTATAATTTTTTAAAAATAAAAATTTGAGCACTAAAAAATTCATGATTTTTTATTTAATTCTTCATTTTTTATTTTCTACAATAACTCTTGTAAAATAACTTTTATTATACAGTGAAATTCATTACTTGGTTAAGAAATATGTTTCTCAGTGGAGGAAACAAGGATGAGCGAAAAAAACTAAAAGATTTTGAGTAGGATAGGAAATAAAAATTTTCTAAAAGATAAAAGAGAAACGTTTCATCTTTTACAATGATAACGTATCACATCAAATAACAATTTGTCATTTTCTATGGCAATTTATCACTTTATTATGTTTTGCATCAGATCAAATATTTGTGCCATAATTTTTCACTTCAATAATCATCACATTTTAAACAGTTTTAAACTCAGTATTTTCTGTTAATTCACAATAATAATTTTGATTGTATTTCTACATTGCTTTATATTATTAAACCGTAGTGATTTTTTAAAACTATAAATTCTTATTTTAAATAATTTTAAAAACAAGTTTTAGAGTTTTGAAAAAAAAAAAAGACAAAATAACCTCATAAGATATTAATAATGTAATTTGTCTAATTTTTTCTACAATATAGATTAAGTTGAGAATAAGTAAACAAATATTTTAAAAATAAAACAAATAATTCACAAGCACATTTCGATCACAATTTCAACAGTCACAAATATTTTTTACTCGATAATTTTTATAATTTGATCGATTTTATCTTAATTAGAAGTTATTAGACAATTAGCAAAATATGTTGATAGTCAGTCTCTCTTTCTCTCTTTTAATTTTAAAAAATATACAAAAAACAAAGCATAATAAGTAACAAATAATATTTATTTTATAAATGTTACCAAAATTTATCTTTACGAAAGAATCCAAAACATTTCAAGAAGCAGTAAGCATTAAATGTTGTAAGTTACTTATTTCATATTTAATCTCCCCTTAAAATGTGAGAACTTATGTAACATCTTGTATTTCTTTTTTCAATATATGATAAATTTTCATAAAAATTAATATGGTAAAGTAAATTTTCCTTCAAAAACTTTCTAATAAGAAAAAGAGACATTGAAATGGTAAAAGGTCCATAGAGTAAAATTTCATTAATTCATAAGTACTTTAGAAAAAACAAAGATTCTAAAGTTTTCATCAGTAACAAAGAGAAATAATAGTTTTACAAATGTTTCAAAAGAATGCTATAAAACTGAAATTATCCATTACATAACTCAAAATAACTAAGTCCTATAACAGTTCTCATCCATCCATGCACTGTGAGCCTAGTACTATTCGCCCTAGTTTCCTGAAGAATGTTGTGTAAGGGTGAGTCTATACCCTACCTCTCATACATCACACATATTCATAACAAAACACATCTTATCACAATTAAAGAAACATCATGGCATTACATATCATAGTGCATATAAAGCATGTTCTCATCTCAACACTTATCGTATTCCACATATTCATATTTTCTTTTTCTTTCTTTTATCCACGCTTACCGCGCCCTGTGGCCACAGTTATCTGATGCCTCTATTTCAAGGTCTTACACATCCATGTAAATAGTCGCCGGATGGTCCAATGCAATACAGATACAACGTACCCTTTAGCAAAGGTAATAGTCAGGAGTCAAGTCGAGAAATGAGTGTGTGACTATGTGGTGCATTCGAACACAATGTTCCGTGCACAATCCTGAATGTCACTCACCACCCTATATTTTCCCAAGATATCCCATATCGTCTCCATTTTCTACTCCCTCAGTGTATCTCTGTAACTATTTACATCATATCCTTTTCTATCTTATACTCTTTCGAGTATATTCATTATATTTCCACATATCTTTCATCATATATATCAAACCATGGCATATTCACAATACACATCATTTTTACATGAAACACAATATATTCAAACATGAAACATCCATCTCGTTGTATATTTCATATCACAAAATCATAAAATCATATCAACCATCTTCAACATACCTTATCATGCACTATTTGAACATAATACCTCATTTTCACCATATATTCATCATAAAATCACATAAACAACCAATTATTCTCACTTTTCACCGATTATTTCTCATAAAATAAGGATTATTCCACATATAATCACATACATGGCAATATCTATGAGAATACAAGTAATAAACATAACAAAATGATAAAGTAGAGCCCCCTTACCTCAAAACAGAGCTTTAACAAAGATTTAACCAAAGATTTAATTCTAGAACAGAGATTTTTCCTAAAAACATCATGAACATCTATAAGAAGAAGAAGAAGAAGAGAAACGAACAGTAAATCTAACTTCAAACTTAGAGAAACTTACTTGAAATTCTTTAGAATGGACGTAGAATCAAAGATCTGAAGAAAAATCTAAGTTTAGGAGGTTTAGTATGGGAGAAAATAGTGAGATATAGCCTTAGAACCTTTGAGAACCTTAGATAGGAATGAAGAAATAAAAAGTTCGTGTGAAACCCCCTTTTTATAGAAAATTTTTGAAATTTACTATTCACCGTCAGAATTACTGTTTATCGCCGAAAATATTATTCACCGCCTTACTGTTTACGCCGGAAACACTGTGCACACGTACTGTACACGGATTGTACGCGTACTGTACGCGGATGTAATGTCAGCCATGACGTCATCGTCACTGTACATAGGCGATTTCACTGTTCATACGCGGTTTACTGTTCATAGACAGTTTAACTGTTCACTTTTTTTTTTAATATAAATTCTATCCAAATCTAATTCTAATTTATACTTTAACAAACCTCATTTTATTTAAATCAAAGTATGAGATGTTACAACTTCTATTGTCTTCCTTTAAATAAGATAGTTTTCAAACTTGAAATTTGATTCTCTAAAAATGCAAAATCAACTTTATATATATATATATATATATATATATATATATATATATATATATATAAGCAATATTAATAAACGATTGAGATTGCAATAAAATATATATACATCATTAAAATTTTAACTATTAATTATTTGAATTGATAGTTAATAGGTTTAGCTTAGCTTGTCCATGTACTTACCTAAATATACATTATCCTTATATTACATACAAATAAAGTGAATCATATTGACTTATATATCTTTGTTAGTTTAACGTATGCTATAAATACTTAGTTTTAGTTATATAAGATAATAAATAATTTGTTATTAGATATTACTTAAATTAATTTAAAAAATATCTAGATAATAAGGCATGAGTTTTAAATTTTTTTTTATAAGCCAAAATTTCATATTATAATCCTTAGCGTTGTAAGACAGACTACATCATAGTAAAAGCCACTAGTTATAAAGGATAAAAGAGTGACAATGTAAGAAAAACTATTGCATACCTTAAGACCACCATGGTTCTATCTAATCAAAACATGATACAATATGTACTTTAACAAAATATTGAACACATGACAAAATGTAAGTGACTTGAGACTACATAGTGTTGGACACTTAAAAAATTTCTCTACAATGTATGAATATGAATCGAGATCATTCTTGTACAGATTTAACTCTTTATCTTGTGGGATAAAATATGAAGTTAATAAAATCAATTAGCAATTTTAATAATTATATAATTTTTATATGAGCATCTATTTTTATTATATTTTATCTATGTTAAATTTTAATTAATAATCACAACATAATTTATTTTTTAAATATATACAATTTTCATTTTAGAAAAGTCAAATTAATTAGTAACACGCTGCTAACATTTTTCTAGTATAAACAATTAAACCAATCTTTGAAAACATATTCATCAGTCATTTTAGTTTTCAAAAATTATTAAATGATTTATCAATCTTTAAAATTAATAACAATAAGTTCTTGACATTAGGATTTATTAACTTTTTTTTTTATTTTGTTAGTTATCAATTATTTTATTCTTTGACTTTAATGTATAGCAATTAATTTAGTTATAAAATGACAAAGGAAACTAAATTTGATTATAAATAAATCAAATCAAATTAACTGATGGTTATCAAATGCAAGAAAATAAAAAATAATAGTTATCAAATTTAACTGAATTAATTGATTTGGTATTATTGGAGACCAAATTAATTTCTGATGTCAAATATAAATATTAAAGTAATTGATGATTACCAAAATCGAAGACTAAATTTCCTTTTCTACGACATAAAAAATTAAATTAAATGATAGAAACATTTTCAAGGACAAAATTGATGCTTTATTCATCAAAATCATGTAGCTCCCAAGAAATTAATTCAAAGCAAAACTTATATTCTATATATTATTTTCTTTTTGGATGCCTTCCTTGTATGGGCATTTGGTCTAGTGGTATGATTCTGGCTTTGGGTGCGAGAGGTCCCGAGTTCGATTCTCGGAATGCCCCTTTCACATTTTGCTTCCTTAGTCCTAAATTATGCTTTACCATTTGCCTAAAAATGGAAAAAAGGTGATACTTGACCGTTTTCTTTCCTGGTTTTTATTTAATAACATATTAAGAAAATTTATTTACAGTAATAAATGTATTGATTTCTATGTTTGCAAAGAATTTGAATTTTTTTTTAATCTAACACAGTAACATGCCCTTTGAATATAAATTTTTTATATTATCCATTATAACTAAAATATATCATTAATATATTTTAAAATTAATTAATACAAAAATCGAGATTTTTTATTGATTCTGAAATTTATAATTAAATAATAGTGTAAGAATAATATTATTGCTATATTTAAATTAAGTTCTTTTAGTAATGTATCTTTAATATGATAAAGAAATTCCAGCTTTTTTTTATTATATTTAAAATTATTTTTTAAATATAAACCTTTAAAAAAATATCTTGATTTAATGTAATTTTTATCACGTAATTACAAATTTTATAATTATAAATGACAATACTTGTTTTATTTTAAAAAATAAATCAATATCGCTGCCAAAAGTGAGAGACTTAGGTATAACTAGACAGTAATGCATATACTTGTAATAATACATTTTTTGTGACAATGAATTATTTTAAAAAATATTAGTAATCTTATCATTTATAACGCAAACATTAATGAGATGTTGATTAATATATTATAGGTATAAAATTGTTATTTTAAAAAAATTAATATTATTTTATTAAGATATTTGACACATGATATTATTTTTTGGATAAATTTATTTAGTTGAAAGTATTTTATTTAAAAATATTGTCCTATATATTCATAGAAGAATCTTCAAATGAATTACGATCAAGTATAATTTATAATTAGTTTTAATTTTAGATTATAATTAATTTATATTATATTATTTAGTTAAATTAAAATAAAGTGAATAATTATATAATACACATTAACTATCTAATAATTTAGCTATACTATTTTTAAAAAAATAAAAACACAATGATAATTGTTAATTACCTAATAAAATATCTAATAGTTACAATATTAAATAATATGTAAAGGAGTAACTAAAAATAATAATAATAATTTTTAAATTTATTTATTTCTTAGTAGAAATTTATATTTTTAAATTAAATTAAATATATATTTTTTATTCCCGTCACGTGTCACCATTTGAAGTAGTTTAGCGTGGCCAATTAATATTGCCAATAAATTCTAAACCTTAAATTATTTCAAACTATATCATATAACTTGCATTAATCTCATCCGATCAAATTTAAATATCAAAATGTTATAGTTTTTTAAAATATTAAAATATACTTACCTATTAGTTAATTGCTAGTTTCTACTGATCCAATTTATTAACTTTATATTATTTTAATAATTTTTATAACTTTTTATTTTTTAGGCAAACTAATATTTTTTCCCCAATTTTTAAGATAACTAAAAATGAATTAGGCCACTTTTTAGTGAGTTTTTGATAAGCACTTTGCACCGTTACTGTTGTAAATAATATAGCCTTCTTCGCTTTTCTTTTTTTGGTCAACCAAATAATATATCTTCCTAAAGAAGTATGTATAACAATTAGGATTGTTCATGATTTAGGCCCATCCCACTGATCCAACCCAGCTAGAAGGTAATCTTGATGAGCTTTTTTTTTTTTTTTTTTTTAAATTTTTGACCAAATTTTAAAAAGATTAAATTATATACATTCTGAGACCAAATTTAGGCCATACTTTGAACTTTGGATTAGTGTTTTGTATTCTTTTAAAATTTAATTTTAATAAATAAGTATTAATAATAAAATTATTTATTTCAATTAATAATATTTCGTATGTTATAATATTATATTGATATTATTTCCTTTATAATATAAACTAAAAGCATACCTTAAATTTAATTTTATACCTCTTTAGTTTTATGATAAAAGATATTAAATTTGATTTATTATATCAATAAACTTGATTTTGTTCAATATATTATTTTTTATTAAATTAGACTTAAGTATAAATAAACAACTTTATCAAAGTTTTATGTCGTATAAAGTCAAAAGTTAAGCCATTTCATAACAATTTTATATTTATTGATAGAAACATATCTAATCATGATTTCTATTAAAAATAATTATAAAATATTAATTTTTATAACAATTGAATATAAAATCAATGAGTATAATCTTTGACATAGGAGCAATGATAGAAAGAATCTGAATTCATTCAATAAAAACTTTGGTATCAATTGACTGATCTAAATGATTCAATAGATTAAACAAGTAATATGGTGAATATAGATTATAATTAACTTAATTGATTTTAAAAAATTAATGACTTCTTAATTCTTGTGAATTATTATTTCATTCATTTTAAGTAATTTTTTTTATAAAATAAATAAATTATAATAGCTTAAGACAAAAACTAATACCACATAATCTATTCTTTAATGGAAATGTTGTGAAAGAGAGAGAAAAAAACTCTATTATGATTAAACTATAATTGAGTGAGAGAAAAGAGAAAAAAAAAATATATATATATAAAAAGATAAAGAGAGTGAAAAACTATTTAGTATTCTAAAGCTACGTAGTCTTAACCACTCATATCTAGACATGTCATTTTTTTATTAGTTAGAATCATAGTGGCTCATAACCATACATATTTTTTTTTAAGAAAAAGATACATAAAGGGTAAAGAGACTAAAAAATAAAAATAAAAAAAATAAAAAATATAACAAATAATAGAAAAAAAAAGAATTAGGAGCTACCTAGTATTAAGGTTTAGCATACTTTTTATTAAAAAAGAAATAAGTAAAAATATAGAAATATAATAAAATAGAATAAATACACAAAGTAGGCCTTAAGAGTGATATATATTTGTTTTGGTTTATTTTACTATTGATACACAAAAATTTTGCTCTATATATTTAATCATCAAATATGTTAAAATGCTGACATTATAGTCTTTCAAGGAACTAATTGGTCACTGAAAGTATTATGCACAATTTATTTTTTTCTAAATGTATTAATTTAACTTACATTTTGTACCTATTTTACTTGAATTTTAATGAAAGAAAAATTGAAATGTGTGTAAATAAACGCTAAATTGTGTAGAGTGAAACTTTAATAAACTAAAAAACAAAATGTTACTCTTAGGATCAAATTACAGGAAACAAAAGATTATACTCATGCACAAAAGTAAGATAAAAAGAGCATAGGGGTTAAATGCTAAATTTGAACACTATCATTCGCCATGTTTTATTTTAAACTATCATTACTCCACAAATTCGACAGAGGCTTCCGGTCCAAAATTTGTAAAATAAAAGGAATGAGTGTTCCGGGCTTTGGCCCCCTCTATTACCAAAAAACCAAAAAAAGAAAAGGAAAAACATATACATAGTTCTCCAAGTATACCGATTGAATTAACACAGTTCATAGAAGCTTTCAATTAGCAGGCTCATATTTGCAAACACAGTCGTATATGTTCCCTTTAACCAACTTTTCAGCCAATCTCTGGTTTTTTACCATTGCCAACTGCCAAAAAATATTTTAAAAAATTAATAAAGACAACAATGCCATTAACAGTTTAGTATGATTAATGTTAACATAGAAATATAACAAAGATGAACAAAACACATTAGATATATATATATAATTCTTGATATGACCGAATTATGAGCAAGAAAATGCATGTGAAGAATCCTAATCGGTTCATGATTCATGTAACAACTCCAAGTAGTGGCGTACTTCACATGAGATAGTATAAAACAGGACAATAGAGTCAGTCATATAAAAGAGCATTACCTTCAAAGCATCACACTTAAACCGAGCATTGAGGTTAGTATGAAGAGCCCTACCCATACCTTCCAAAATTATCTGCAGATTAAAAGCAGCATGGAGGTTAGTATGAATAACTTTCCCCTGGAAATTCTTAGAACAACAATGATATATCAAATAGAGTGAGCCTCTCACCAAATCGGCGTCTTTTGCAGCAGCAGCTAGCTCAGAGCTGACCTGTCTTAAGTCTATACATGGACTACCGCACCCATTCTCAACAACCATCAATGGAACTGAAGATGAATTTTCGTTAGAGCTGCCTGAAGTATTAATCATTGCATCCACAAGCAAGCCTCCAGCTTCAGCAGCTCCCCTTAGAATGTCACAATGCTATAAAACCAGAAGAATTAGTTCCACTGAAGGACTCATAGCAAGACCAACAACTGAACATTCAATATTAGACCAATGGTATACGGAACTTCTAATAACTCTCTAGATACGGGACATTACACAAATGATGTCAAGTCATTCCTTTCAAAATCACACGAGAAGAAAAGAAAATATAAACTATGCATATTCCATTTGGATTTAAGAATACACGATATAAAAGGTTTATTCTACAAGTAACTAAGAAGGAATAAATTATTTGAATAGAAGGACTAGAGATACAAAAGGTATTGAAACTTTCATTAAAAGTGGGGCACCAGGAAAATGAGGTTTTCAAAGAATAAATGTTTTACACTAATAGTAATAATCACTAGTACTTAAGAGAGCATGGAATCTTTGTGAAAGGAGAAATCATATTTTCTGTTCTTTCCATTCAATTCAATGAAATCTTTCTTTTCGTTTTCATTTTTATTCAGAGGTTCTAAAGAAATGGTAAAGACATTCAGAGGAATTCTATAAGGGCCTTCCTAAACATAAATGTAATAGAACAGAACAGAATTCACTAAATTACACAAACCTTGGCAGCCTCAGCTACAATATCAGGAAGCTCCCTTGCTGTCACATCATTTAAAGCAGGAAGTGAGTTTGCAACAAGAACTACCTGCAAGAACACCACAATTTTTGTTGTGATAAGAACATAAAATTCATACAGAAGAAACCACACCAAAGGAGAAAATTTTGGGTAAGTAGTAGGCATATTTCAGATAGGAGATTGTGCTACTGATATATCTTTTTATTGTCTACTTACTAAGGATGCAACTATGACTAGAACATATTCAAATCATTATTATTATTAATGGAGGAGGAGGGGGGAAAACTTGAGATCAAACATATATGTAGTCCAGTACAGAATCCAAGATACAGGAAGTGAACTTACTTCAGTTCCACGACGGAGGAGCTCCCGTGCCAGAGGAAGCATCCCTAGAACAATGTCAGCACCTGAATTATCAACAAAAAGTAAAGCTCTTCTATGAGGTGGCATTTTCTTGTCCTTGGTTCCTAACATTCTCTCTTTGAAGACATCAAAATCATCCACCTAGATTAGACATAGTCAGATTAACATTTAAATATCAACTTTGATGAATAAATTCATATATTAAGTACCCTTGTCAATAATATGTTTAACTTCACCTACCCGCCAAGGTCTCTGCATTTTATTACGACTCATCCTGTAAATTTCAATAATAGTTCCTTTATGATAGAGATCCACACATGCACGAGATCCCCAGTCAAAAATGTTTGCAGCAAGAACACCTTCAATTAGGGTCAGCAATCTTGTTTCCTGAGACAAAGGAGGGTTTTGGATAGGAAACATGATTAAAGCAGTAATAATTTTACTCAAAATAATGAATTAGTCACATTTTTTCTTTAAAAGGGACTATCACATTAGTTAGATAAACCAGTCATGAAAGAAAAATATTGACTCCTCCCAACATGTTACTTCATAGGATTATAGTATTAGTTGGGCATACATACCTCATCCATACTATCAAGTTCCACCAACAAGTCAGGTAAAACAGCAAGTGATGCCTCATTTTCCCTAATATACACACACAAACCACACAAATATAGTTGTTAAAAAATTGTAAGGAATTGTCCCGAGAATATTGATATGAAAATGACATCAACGATATTTACACTGTCAGCATGAGTTTTTTTTTCAGTTAAAGAATGTTCATTAGTAAACCTTGGCACAACAGTGAAGTTGATGTCTCATGATCAGGTGGTCATGTGTTAAAGTCATGGCAAGTGGCAACAGCCTCTGTGCTTATATGGGTAATAATTAGGCTAGGTAGATATGATCCATGTCTGCCCTAGTCCCCATAATGGTGGGAATGACATGCAAGCCACCCTTTACTTTGTTCTCATTCAAATTGTAAATCTAAAGCCCATATGTTTTATCAAGAATTTAAATAAAATGTAGACATTAAATCCAAAATTTTAGGACCAGTTATGTATGAACATGATTGGCATATAAAACATAAATCAAGATTTTTTTCTTTGGAAGAAAAACAATCGAAGAAATATTGATTAATAAATTTCAAAGGGAACTTTTTTCACAGGTAAAAAATAATTCATTAAGAGAAAGTACAAAAGGGATAATTAAAACACCTAAAACAATCCTAAAAGAAGATCTAGATTTTGAAGTGAGCCTCTAGAAGAAAATTACATGAATAATAATGAATGAGTGACAAACATAGGAGGGACAAGGAAGGAAACACTGTAAGAGTCAAGAACCTAAATTTTCCCCTTTTAATTTTACTGTGTAAATGAAACTCAGTTAATTTTTAGATAGCCATTCAATAATGCAAAGAGTTAAGGATGCAGCCTGCATCTGTTCAGTGAATAGTATACAGTATCCTATTTTATATATTAACACAACTAAAACAACTTCTTTCAAACTAAGTTGCTTTAGAAAATTTGCACATAACAAGGACTTAGAAGGCAATCGGCTACATCTACCAGGCCAAGTAAAGACCTCATTTTTACGGCTTTATAAAGAGAAAACGTAATTACCTCTGCTTGATACTTCTATAGGCATCAACAAACTGGAATTCCCTCAAGCATTCTTCCCTCATTTCCAATAGATTAGCCAGGCCTAACTTCCCATATGCAGAAGGCTCCTCCCTCAACCTATTCAGTAGATACAAATGTTGATAGTAAAAAAAAAAAAAAAAAACTCATGCCAAGTAAATTCAATGAAAGAATGAATTTTAAAAATTTATCAAACTTAACAAATACAGACATAAATAATGCTACAAAACTGATCTAAATGAACTGAAACTCAACAGAATTAAGAACCCAGTTCTTATTCAACCTGCTTGTGCTTCAGCTGAATACTTATTCAATGTAGGCACAAAAATTTGTAGCTTCTGTAGCATTTGTTTCAATGAATGTTCTGTTAAGAACCAATTTCCCACCCCTCTTGGTTCCAATTTTTCAATCCAATATAATATCCCTAACTTATCATTGAACATACATGGGCGTTTCTCTTTGCATGTATTCAATTGAGAAAGACTGACATACTACAAAACTAAAAGTGCCAGGTGTGGGAGATCAAAGTAGGCCAAAGTCGTGATTCTAACAAATTTGAAATGATCTGGTGGATATATCCCAGGTACAAACAAGACAGTTGTTTACAAAAGCAGGGCCATGGTTGCGTTAAGAAACTTAAGTTTCTTATCAACTATTTTTATGTTAATATGAGTTTCTCAAAAACCTTGAAACATGCTGCTGGAGCACTTGACCAACAGTAAATCTTTAAAACTAAACTCATTGATTAAAGGTAACGAAAAAAAACACTCGCAAAAGGTTGTTAAACAAGTATGTTCACATTAGAATAAGAAGAGATATCCATGCATCAATAAAGATAGTAAGCCATCAAAACAGGAATCTCATGTCATACCTTGCCAAGTGGGCTGAAAATGCACGAGCAAATGCATCACCCCTTCTTTTGGCATCATCAGTTCCACCTTCACTTGCTACAGCCTAAACATATTTGAATTGTAAAAATTTGTCTTTCACAGTTTACTTCCAAAAAGATGGATGATGCAGTACAACTAAACAATGAACCAAGGAAGCCAAGGTTTGTCTCCAGCCTATCAACAAGCTCAATGCATAACTAAGTGGTTGTTTGGTTTGAGAAAATGCTTTCTATTTTCATTTGCAATTTTAAATAATAATTATAAAAATGCCAACTCATTATTTTCACTTTGTTCCCTATTTTCAAATATTTGCATATGAAACGATTAATTTCATTTTGTTCTATACAAATCTTTAAAAACAGAAAAAAATAGTAAAAACAAGGTGAAGTTACAGAATTTACAGGATATATGAAACTTACAAGAGCAACTACATTGTGTGCTCAAACTGATTGCTGAAAAATTATGAAAGCCAAAGTACAAATAATAATATTTTGGTTAAATTAAAATTTAATTCATACACGACACTGATTTCTGGTTTAGTACATGAACAAAATCTAGACTTTGGTCCCTAGGTGATTTTTTTTAACAAATTACCATCTGCTGTTTGTTGACATCATAATCTTGTTAGAGTATTTTTTCTATAAAGACTAATTTGAAAAAATCTTGTTAGAAGTAGAGACCAAAAGGTAGATATTTTTTGTCTTCTGTAACAAAAACGGAATGTAAATTGTTTTATCTACGGAATAAAATGTAGAGTTTTTTTAATATAGAGACCGAAATGAACTAAAATGAAAAATTATGTTAGGTAGGTGCAAGGACTAAACTTTTAACCTAATTATTTTCAGCAATCAATGGCCTTAAGTTCAGAGACCACACAAAGCATCCCCTAAGGTTTGTGTTAAAATTTTATCTGATTCTGAGAGCAGTAGCCATTTAATTTAACACTGTTCAGCTGCAAGTTTATGGCCAAGGGTCATTGGTAGCTTTTGGTGAATTGAGGAGTCATACAGTTAGCTAAAGCACTGTATACATTATGTCAGCTAGAGGTCAGTAAAAAGACAGAAAGGCTCTTAACAAGTTTGGAATAAAACAGTCATTCAGCAGATATAGTGATCCTTTTGGCCTCTATGGTGTTCAGGTATTATTTTTGTGGTTTTCATTTTTGAAAGATTGACATGCCAACAAATCGGAAAGCTTTACTTAGTTGATATATCTTTATTGTTTTCCTGGTGTTTGTGTTTCTTGTTTCTTTAGGGAGGACATCTTATTCTCTACTATATCTCTAATCTCTATCTTATTTTTATGATAAAAATATTCTGCAAGAAATTGTCTGTATTGCAAATTTGTGAGTGGAACCTAGGGTTATCTTCTGTTTTTATGTCATGTGCATGGATGTGTTGAATTTAATTGTTTGAGGGATACAAAGACACACAAGAAGAAAGGCCAGGGGTTTCAACTTTCAAGCTAGCTTGATTACCTTGTCCACAAGATCCGGTAAGTGTTCTGACAAAATAGTGAACCAATATCTACATCAGATACAAATTGTGTTAGCTTTGGAAGAAACACTACGAACTATGTAGCCCTATGTGAGCATTAAGTCATTTGCTTACTCTAATTCATTGTGATCTGAAAGATCAATGGTATTGGGCTCATACCTGTAGACAGGAAATTTAAAACTTGTTTAAAAAATAAAATACCAATATCATATGATCCCATTGTAAAACTGAATTTTGAAAGAAATAACACAAACTCATTGATGGGTAAGCAAGCAAATCATATTCAATAAATATAAAGTCAAGAATGTGGCAGGAATGGTTTGTTATGAGAGCAGAGAGGACCAAACATAATCTTGACCATTATATCCTAAATAAATGGTCAAAATTGGCAATCACTTAAAGAAGATTTGATGATCAAGATTTTCTTCTCTCACAATAAACCCGTATATGTATATATACATGTACGAGAGCGTGCACATACAGCTCTCCATTGCCATCTTCTTTGGTGATATAAATTACCATAACATAAACACAAAGACAGCCCAATAGATGGAAAATGTTTAATCTCAGAGCAGTTAGTGCATTCAGCAATTATGCTTACAATTTTTGGTCTGATAATAAGGGAAACACTTCCAAAGTTGGTACTAGATGGAGAACACCAACATTTAGAGCACTTGCATCTGATCGCAGAGTACTTCCCTTTGACAAAGGAACTTCAAAACCCCCAAGTCCAGTAGTTCCAGCAAGTGGAGTCATTGGCACAGGAGCTGTAATCTCAGTTCCCTTCTGCAAAAACTTCTCCATCCACGAAATCTGCATTGGAACCTTTATATCACATAAAATTTCCTAAAAGATTGAGCCACATCTGAATTTAAGAAAAAGGGGCAAACAAATAATTCCCAATCACATATCAGACTCTTAGCCATCTAGAAGAATTTACCAGAAATGACAAAATCAGTCTATCAAAAATTCAAACCAAAACTAAGCTTTAGCAGAAATGCTCACTCTCAACGTTTTCCAGTTTCGGCGTGCCAAGAAATTGATAGAAAGTGAGAGAAAAAGAGTAAGACAGGGAGAGAGAAGAAAGTGACTCGGGAATTCTATCACTCAACAGAATATGAAAATGAGCATAATGATTTAAGTAATATTGTTTCAATCTAATTAAGGTGTCAGTTACTTGCAGTGACCTGCAACTAATTCAGCAGGTAAACTGTAATTGATTGTGACAGTTCCAGCTGTATAACATACTGAACACGCAGATAACACTTAGGTGTAACAGACTCATATATTAATTAATACTACAATATGATATGCATAGAGATGTTAATATATTACAAACCAAGAATACTCTTAGCTGGTACACAGTCACCACTACCTCTCCTACACATTATAATTACATGTATGTGAATATTTAGAATTTGATTCTTTTTTTATTTTCCATGGCACAGGAAACCAGAACTTCTGAGTATAATAGCCTTTAATCTTTCTTTTTTAATTTATGATTTCATGCAAGATATTTAAAGGCACTTTCATCATTCATTTTTATGTTCCACAGTGTCTTCAGTGGCTATCCAATCTGGTTGGCAATTGTTCTGACTCAATTGAATATGATTCCAGGGGAAGTCAATAAAATTATTCCAAAGAATCTCATCAGTGGGGTTACTTTAGCCATTTTTTTATTGCAACATCCAGAGAAACCTCAGACACAAAAAAGTGGGACCTTTGTGATGGTTATGGAATTGATGCCCTCTAAAATACACTCTTATTAAATTAACAGTTATGGGTGTTAGGATTAGCTTTTTGTTGAAAAGCTTCGTTGTGGAGAGCTAAGAAGAATCAAACATTATCATTAAATCCATAAAAGAAAAGTTAAGCAAAAATTTTTTTCAAAAGATTATCCATATATCTTAAGCAGACACCAGTGCAGATCAAATATTTAGAATTCCTTCACTTGCCTTCTCATTCAAATCTCCAAGTGGTGGGCCATGAATCTTGCCTCCTGTATATGGTGCACCCATTGGAAACCTTTCAACCAACTGATGCACCATGAGGTCATCTAAACCATGCTTTTCGTAACTCATAAATGCACCTAAAGCTCCCAGAAATCCTTCATGTCGCAAGAACATTGCTTGTGCTTCCCCATTAGACCTAAATGAAAAATTATATAAATTGCACGTCAATATAGTAATTTAATTAAAGGAAAAAATAAATATAGCTAATTAAGTCATTAGACATTTTATGTACCAGAAATGAACAGCAAAAGAAATAGTGTCCATGGTATAGGCATGACCCCGTATAAAAAATCCTCCAAAAAAGATTCGCTTCAACCGGAATCGCAATGCATTCAAGTAAGATATCTACACAGATGAAAGGGATGCAAAATTAGTCAGGTACCTTCTAGAAGAACAAATAATGGAATAGAACGTGAAAATTACTGAATGTGGATGCCTGATAATGCTACCATGCATCACGCAAAACTAATCTCAAATCATCTTTACAGATTAGACATGTCACTATGTTTTCTTTTTGTTGCATTTAGATCACAAGTAACTATTTCTGGAAAATCTTACAAAAGAAAATGATAAATTAAAAAAATCAATGTATTATCTCTTAAATCTTGAAAGGAAAAGGTTAGCAACTTTTAAAGAACTAGTATAATATTTTTAAACGTAAATTGAATTTGAATAATTATTAGATAATTTTTTGCCTATATTTGCAGACAAGCTTCTTTCATTTATAAATGTTGCCAGAGATATAAAGCCATTCATGAGCCTCCACCAAATAACATAAGCTTAAGAGAGTTGGTCCTCGACATGATATCAGAGGCTTTATGTGGTCAAGAATTTGATTCATGCTGCGCCCATTCTTCTATTCAAAGATTGAGTATCAAAACAAATGCAGAATGGGATTGTCCATGTTTCAAGCCCAACGAGCTTTTGCAGGAGGGGTGTGTTATAGATTATAGAACCATTCATTTGCCTCCACCTAAAAGCTCAATCTTAAGACACATACTAAGAGTGAAATTTGACAATATTCAATTAACTAAATAATACAAAGAACCTCCTTTTTACATGTCTAATTTGTAAAACTGTTCCTTAATATTTTAAATAATGATTTAAATAAAAGGATAATCTGAATGAAACAGAATAAACTTAACCAATAGCTTTATGATTTGCATACAATTTGGCAGCTTATATTTATGCATAAAATGGATAAAATTATAATTGCCAGCTCACCTGGCCAATATTGTAAGAAATCATCCGTAGAAGTGATAGTGATATATCTTCAGGCCTGTATTCTTCAAGCTCCTTTTTTTCAGATATTGTTTTGCCAAAACTTGAAGCAATAGTGGCAGCCGATAGGCCAATCTAGCATTATTTATGCCAGGAAAACAAAGTCATTACGGTTGATAAAAAGTATCAAATGATTCATATTTATCTACTCCATAGAGTTAATTTGAAACTTTTTTCTCTCTATATCATGAATATTTAAATGGCAATAAGAACAACTGTAAAATTTACCTTATTATAGTCCAAGCCACCATAAATGTCCCCAACTAGCATGTCAATAGTTCTATTATCTCCTTTCTGACTCAGCTCAAGCAACTCATCAAAACTGGAATTTATTTCAACAAACACTTTGTCAATAGTTCAAATATAGCAATGGATCAAAATAATAAGGAGTCGCATGAAAATGACCTCTTGCACTTTGTTAAGAGTCTTCCCAAGCCCCAATAAGTACCTCCACCAACATTTGTCCCACTAATCCTCTCAAATTTCCCATCCCCATCAACCTATTTATCATTCAAATTGAAAATTCAGATCAGAACCAGTTAATCTTTATCAAACAAAATCCAAAGAGATCAAAAGGAAACAAGACAAAATGTACCTTGATCATACTAACACCAGATCCAATATTAACTAGAAGATAGGGGAATAAATCATTAGGGTCAATTTGAACAAACTCTTTTTGGCCCTCCATGTGCGTGAAAGCTTCATGACGAATTGCCTACTAAGAAGTGGTAGAACTTTAATGAGAAATTGTTGATGGTGAAATTGTTTACATATTCCAAATTAAAAGAAAGAAATTGTTTTACAAGTCAACAACAGAAAGGATTAACAGAGTTCTCAACTCATTCAGATTTCGGTTGGTAGCAAGAAACATAATATCAAGAAGGAAAGCACAGTTAAGAGTAGTAGTAAAATATAGCTAATATAATGGCTGTCCAGTCTTGCCAATCAATTGTCTCTCCACCTTTAACACAAGCAGAAAACATAAAAGCATGATTCCAAAAAGAAGCAAAGTCAGACAGAACGGTTTTTATTTATTTATTTATTTCTTATTGTTTATTTGAATAAGTAGGAGTGAGAGTACCAGTTTAAAAGACACACTGTATCCTCCCTATCAAGCTGACCTAAATAAATGCAAGCAAAACAAACAATTCAAAACAGGGGTCCACCTTAAGCAAAAAATTTGCTCCTGCCACAAGACAATCCATTTCATCTTCTTTGTCAAGACTAACCCCAAGTCTTTCTTTGAAAAGGTCAGCATACTTGTATGCTCCGCCACCAGTAGCCTTTATGAGAAAATGGACGCATTAGTATAGCTTCAACAGCATTGGTGCAGACGATGAACAGAAAAGTAGTACAAAATATTTCATATTCACAAATTTCTAAAACAGAAAATATTACGAATGATAATACCAACACATGAATTGAATAAAAAAATTCATGATTTTGGTTTCTATACAAGAGGCCAAGTTCAATCTGTTCTGTTTGCCATAACTACTACTGCAGGCGATAATAAGTAGAAATAGGAAATAGCTTCACATGTGCATCTGAAAATACTTATAATTATTGGTTTGAAGAAATGATATAATATATACAGAAATAAGATTATAGAATCTACAATCTGAGTCTTTTGACTAACCTAAAAAACAAAGACCCAAAAGTTACCTTAATTATGCCATTCCGTTGACTCATAACATCAGAGTAACGTGACTCCAACCCTATAAGCAAGAAAAGAAGCCCATAGTCATCAATTCATTCAGCTTAAATAATGTGCTAAATAATTTTAGGATCGTTGAATGTAGTTGAATTAACACACAAGACCAAGAAGATAATAAAACGATGTTGTACTCACAGTACTATTTTAGCAAACAAAAGAGACGATAAAAGTTATGAAATAAACAAGATCATGTACCACCACAGTGAAGCTGCTTTGAATGAATGAAATCCAAGCACTCATTAATCTTTATCGTTTCAAACTTCACAAAGTGAAGCCTTCCACCAAGAATAGGGTAGCTTCTCCGGTTGCCATTAGAAAGCCCCAGTCTCTCCTTCACAATTCTCTTCCTTTTATCATCGGCTGATTGGTCTTCATGTCTTGAAAAGTACACCAACTTTATCAGAGACCCTGCCCATATAATTGAATAAGATTAAGTTTCACACATATTTCACATGCTACCAACCTATTATTTTCCTTAAATTAATTAAATTAACATAAAATTTGGACAATTTACCAATTATGCTTCACTGAATATGAAACAAAAATGTGAAAGGCCCAAAACGGAAAATCTAAAACTCTTGTAGGCACAGTCATAGGTTTTCTTGTCTTTTTCCTCCACAATAGAGAGCAAAAGAAGACCACAAAAATACCAGAAATAAGGGGCAAGACCAGGAGGCAAAAATGAAACTGATATAAAACGAGAAGATAAGAGAACAAAGAACCCTTCAGGGAAGGTCTGAATTCTCAAAAGATGGGATTACACTAACAGATATTGACAACTCTAAGTTCCCACCAAAAGAGAGACAAAACAAAACTAGAACAAAAAAAAAGAAAAAAACACCAAAAGGGTACCTCACCTCATATATATATATAGCCATACATCAACATTCACCAACAAACATGAAACATGAAATTCAAAATAAAGAAGCACCATACCTCCAATGTCAAGAGCCAGGTGAGATAAATCATCAGATTGATTAGGCAACAAAATGGTGGGATACTTCTCCTCCACATTCCCTTGAATTTCTGCTTTGCTAACATCAAGTTGAGGCCTTGAACCCGACCTATGAATTGAATTCCCTGCCGCAGGAGCCATGTCTCTGTCCCCTTGACCACTCTCCAATTGTGTGTGTTTGTTGTTCCCCTCACTCCCTTGCTCCTCTTTCTCTTCGTTAATTCCAATAATTTTTTGTTCCTTTTCTACCATACCAGCCATTTCTAATTATATAAATTCCTCACCACCCAAACCCCCTCCCTAACCCCACCAACTTTCCTTCTTCACTGTCTATATTTGGTTACTGCTCCTTTCCTACATTCAAACAAACAATCAATTCATCAAAGTTATAATCCACTCCATGGTAGTCAAAATTTAAATAGATATTGCATTTATTATTATTATTATTATTATTATTATTCTTATTATTCACTATTAAAAACAATTAATAATATCATAGCTTGTGTGCTTAGAGGGTCAACAAATGGGACACCCGAGAAGCCGTTTTTTACATAAATTAAAGTATTTTAAAAAAATGGATATTGGAGTGATGGAAAAATGAAAGGTGGATATTGAATAATGCAATAACACGCCGAGGAAACGGGTGTTGAATTAATTGAATGATTTCCTATGAGATAGCAAAAAGAGTAACCCCACGAATAAGATCTAAGGGACTTTGAAACATGAGAGATTGGTGAAGTGAAAAGGACATAAGTCAGAAACTATTCTTCGGATCAAAGTGACAACAAACGAAGGGAATCATCGTAAACATGGGTGTACCTGCGAAGGGTGTGAGGAGAGAGAAAGAGAGAGAGAGAGAGAGAGAGAGAGAGAGAGTGTGAAGATGCAAACGGTGCTATCTATGATATGTTGGAGACGGCGCGCACGTACGACAAAATCCTCAATCACTTGAGTCAGAGCTAAACTCTTAGTTACTTAGAAGGCCTAATAGAGAACGTGGTTGAAGTTGATTGTTGCTTCCGAAGGTTGTTACATTGCTTTCTAGATAAACTGATACATGTGTTCACAAAAGAAACACAAAATCTTCAATTTGATTCATTAATTATTATGTTATCATGCTAGTTTTTTGAAAAATTTAATTACAAAATTAATAGTTCAAAAATTTCAAAATCATAACAATTAAGAACTTTTTGCGTACCATGTGCATATTATTAAATTAAAGTTATTTTTTAAATTTTAAAATGTATTTCATCATTGTTTTTAATTTCACAAATTTTATCAGTTAAAAAATATTTTTTTAAAACATCGGTGTCCTCTACTCCAAATCAAATTGAAGCTTTCAAAACCAAATCTTAAGAGAATTTCGAGTCAAGTAACAAATATTTTAATTATTAATAATAAATATTTTTATATAAAATAAAATAAAATATAGTTATCTTGAGTTTAGATCATAATAAATGTTGCGATAAATATTTGAATGAAATTTTTTTTCACCTATCGTAGTTTGAGTTTTTTACGAAAATAATATAAAAAATAAATAAAAATACTGAAATAGACTTCTCCTATAATTATTTACCAAATTAAACCTTTTTACTGTTGAGGTATAGAAATCGTATCTCCGGGGACCGAATCGTGGTCTTCTATTTCACGTTCCTAAAATAGATTTGTTGATAGAATTCGATTTTGGGGCAACCGAATTCCAGACATAATTTTAATTATTTTTTCGTTTTAATTTTTTTTTTGTTTTTATATAATAAAAAATATTATGTAATATTTTATGTTTATATAATTATATATTATCAAATTTAATAATAAAAAGATTATTTTAAATAATAAAATAAAATTTATTATTAGAATTATATTTTTATTTTTATATTATGTGAAAATAAATATTTATATTATGTTAATTTGTGTGAAATAATAATTATATATTTATATTATGTGAAATAATAAAGAATATTATATTGAATATGTATTTGAATTTTAAAAATATTTATATATCAAATTAATAAAAATAATAAAGAATATTTGAGTATATATTTATTTGAATATGTAAATGATAAAATATTTTTGAATTAGTATTTTATTAAATTAAAAAAAAATTGTATATAAGATGAATAAAAATAATAAAGAATATGATGTAGAAATTTAAAAGTATATTTAAAAGAAATTATAATTCATTAAATATTTAATAATAAAAATAACACATAACACAATATTGATAACAACATTCATTAGTGATTTTCAGTATCACTATCTCCGTAATGATGTCCAGTTCCACAACGAGGACGACGACTGTTACGTGCTGGATTTCGTTGTTATGGTTGATGTTGTGGAAATTCAGGATGAACTTGTGGAGGATTATCAAGTTCTAGTTGTTGGAATGTAGTTAAAGAACTACCAGGTTCATTAGGAAAATCTGGTTGGTAAAAAGACTGCATGTAACTTTGTGCTGGAGATGAAGTTGTAAAATCAACTCCAAATAAGTTTGTAAAAAAATCCTCTGAAGTTGTTGCAAACGAATGTCTTGTGTCCATTATGTTTGCATGTGGTGTGATATCTAGTGGAGGAATTGATACAGTCTTGCGATACAACGGTGTGGAAGTCGTACCGGTGGCAAATGTTGTGGTAGTGTTTAACTGTTGGTGGCTTTCCCTTGGATCTTGTAGTAGTGGTAGCACAGATAGAAAATAGATAGAATTGGCAATGTACCATTTCATGTAATCTCGTGTGTGACACAATGGGCCTGACATTGAATGACCTGTTAATGTCAAGTCACGTCTATTGTTCCACACATCGATCCATTGAGCATGTCTTGTGATCCAATTTTCATCATGTCTTCCTCTTATGTCAATTGTGTGGAGATCATGCAAATTATTGGGTGGACAAGGGACTTCTTGTAAGAGCCGAAACTGTAATTTCACTCTATCTGATTGGTGCCATTCAACAATTGCAAAACAAAAGATAGCGGTACATGAAGTCCACATTCGGACATCTCTATAAGCTTCCATAGGTATTGATGTTTGCAATTCTTGATATGGTGCCCATAAAACTACAAATAAAATTAACTTTGTTAAATAAGATAATATATAAAACATTGATCACAAGAAAAATTAAAATTTTATTTATGAAGATTTACCTGATTAGGTTGAATGTGGTCAAACATTGATTTGTACCCCACTACATCATTATGAGGTTTATTATGAAAGTTGAGGACTCTACCCCCGCTCCATCTGGACACTAGAGGGTATGTTGGTGGATTATTGGAAATTGGCGCAATATATGGCATGCGATACCATGCCCAAGACATTAACAGTGATGCACAACCACCCATTGTTTTGCTCCTGACTTCTGTGGCCCTGCACATTTCCCTATACAACATAGCTAAATAAGCAGACCCCCAACTATATCTTTTAGCTCTTCTAATATTAGTTAATAAAGCTAAATACATAAGATGAACTTTGTTGCCTGTTTTGTCAGGCATCAAAACACCTCCAATCAAACCCAATATATATGCTCTAACATGAGCGTGAACCTATTGTTCAGATGGTTCATCTGGTAATGGCAACATATTGTCTCTCAGCCACTTCAATTTCACCATAGAGCCAATAAGTGTCTCTCCCTTGACTGACATGATATCGAGATATAAGTCACACATATCCTCCCAGTCAAACATTGTTGGAGCAATGACTGGTAATCCATCAATACTTAGCCCCAGTTGAAGTGCAACATCCTCTAGGGTTATGGTGCACTCTCCTGTTGGAAAATGGAACGTGTGAGTTTCAGGTCTCCACCTCTCGACCAAAGCTGTTATCAATGCATGATCCACCTTAAGATGCCTTAGCTTTGCCACCCCAGCAAAACCAAGTTCTTCAAGTAAAGGAACAATTAAAGGATTGGGTTCTGGCATTGAATGAAAGAAAGATGAAATCATGTTCTCAGTTTCCTGCAGATATTAACAAATTAGTAACATGATACGTAAATCTTGAAAGTCATATTTATTAAAACTTACCGTTCTACCAATGAAGGCAGACCTGTGTTCGTTTTGCTTCCACAACAACATTTTTCGTAATGGATGCAAGTTTAAATGAAAACATATAGCCTTGATGAACATATTTATAGATAAACTTTGATATGAGAGAGGCGCATGTGGTGTCATTGAGAGGTCACCATCACTCGTAAAACGTGTTTAGCAGAGGAAAGAGTCATTACTTGGGAGGAGAGAAAGCTTGTGCATGTGGTGTCATAGAGAGGTCACCATCACTCGTAAAACGTGTTTAGCAGAGGAGAGAGTCATTACTTGGGAGGAGAGAAAGCTTGTGCATGTGGTGTCATAGAGAGGTCACCATCACTCGTAAAACATGGTGAAGCTTTGAATGAGAGGGAATCCAATGCTACCTTTATAAATAGTCATGTAGGTTGTTCATTTTCTTCATTCACCCTTCTAAGCTTGTTGCTTGTTTTTGTGAACCTACATGTTCTAAGTTTGTTCATCTTTCACTTGGTTTAATCTCAAAATGTCTTCAATCTATGTCATTGTTCACTCTGATGGTGCCATCAACTAATGTCCTAATGAAGGAGTCACGTTCACCTCACCATCAGCCAAATTGGTACATCTAAAGAGAGGAGTGACTCTACAAAGGCTGAAGAAAGTCATCCACAGCAAACTTCACCGAGACGAAAATGAAAGGGTGGAAACGATACATTTTCGCTACCCAAGTAGACTTGGCCCGGGGGTTAGCAACTACATATGTGTTCAGTTGAATGATGATGAGGACGTCGAGGCACTCTTCAACATCCATGATTCTAATAAACTTCAATCAGGTATAGAATTATATGTTACATTTGCCACCAATGTAACCCAGGTACCACAACTTTCACCTTACCAAACTTTGAAAACCATTAATCCATCTTTTTCAACTTATGATATGAATTCCGACCTTCAATCCTATACACTTCACACTGGTGGTTTTATGGACCTCAATGAAATACCCGCCCAGGAAATTGAAGAACATGCTATTGTAGGTCTCCCAACAGAAGTTTTTGATCTTTTTAGCGAGGACGAAGATGAAATAATGTCACAACAGCAGGATGATGAAGAAGACTCTCTCCCAGTTCCAAATATTCCACCATCAGAACCATTACCATTATACCACCCACCTCCACATTTTCTGGACTTCTGCAGTCAAATACATGAACATGACTCTGAGTTTGGCCACGTCCTTGATTGTGAAATGGTTGTGTATCCGCCTGAAATACTATTTATTGGTCAGCGCTTCCTTACAAAAGAACAGGTGCAAGATACCATAAACAGATTTCACATTGTCAATCACTGCACTTACAAGGTGAAGATGTCAAGCACAACTAGGCTTGTCGTTGAATGCCTTCACAACAACTGTGACTGGAGATGTCGAGCTATATTGCGCACCAAAGAGCAACACTGAGAAATAATGAAGCTTGAAGGGTGCCATACATGTGTTTCCTCACTCATTTCACAGGATCATAACAACTTGGGATCACGAATGATTTCTCAAACTATTCATGAAATTATTGAAGCTGATCCATCCACACCCATCACAACCATAATAGCTCACATCAAGTCCACCATGTGTTATACAATCAGCTACAAAAATTGATGGTTGGGGAAACAACATGCCATTGAAAATATATTCGGAAATTGGGAGGAGTATTACCACAAGTTATCTAGTATGTTGCAAGCAATGCAATTGTATGTTTTGGGTTTCATTTGGAAATTGAGTACACAACCGGCGTACAAGGGTGGCTTGTTGGATGAGAAAAATGTGTTCTTCAAGAGGTTGTTTTGGACCTTCAGGCCATGCATTGATGATTTTGCCTTCTGCAAACCAATTGTACAAGTTGATGGAACATTTTTGTACGGCAAATACAAAGGGACTTTATTGGTGGCAGTTGCGCAAGACGGCCGCAACAACTTAATTCCCATTGCCTTTGCTGTGGTTGAAGGTGAAACCAGCGATGCATGGTTCTTTTTTTTGAGAAACTTAAGGAGGTACGTAACCCCGCAGGAGGGGTTGTGCCTCATTTCAGATCGTCACGAGACCATGAGAAGTGCATACTCCAGAAGTGGAAGTGTTTGGACGGAAAATAATTCTGTCCATGTCTATTGCATTAGACACATTGCACAAAACTTCATGAGACGATTCAAAAATCCTGCACTTAAGAAAGATGTCGTCAATATGGGTAATTTTAATATTTTTCATACTTTAAATTATCATTAATATTTTTTACACTTGTTAATTTGACATATTTTTTTTCAGCATATGGGATGACAGAATCAAGATTCTTTTACTATTACAACATAGTAAAAGATAATAATTCTGAATCTGCACAATGGTTAGACAACATCCCAAGGGAAAAATGGGCGCTGGCATGGGACAATGGACGATGCTGGGGACACATGACAACAAACCTAGCGGAGTCAATCAATTCGATCTTGAAGAAAACTAGAAATCTGCCAATTTGCTCCATGGTCATGGCGACATATACCTGTTGCAACAAGTTCTTCATTGAGAGAGGCAGGAAAGTAGATGCAATGATTAATGCTGGACATGTGTACTCAGAGGTTGCAATAAAGCAATTCAAGATGCACTGTCAAAGGCGAACACACATAGAGTCATCACCTTTGACCAAACAAGCACTAGATTTTTAGTAGAAGAAATGGAACATCCAAGAGATGTTCGACCCGTAGGAAGATTTGCAGTACGGTTAGATGAAATGTGGTGTGATTGTGGCAAGTTCCAAAAAGTTCATATCCCATGCTCGCATGTACTTGCTTCATGCTTACACGCACACCACAACTTTGACATCTACATATTTCCCGTGTATTCCTTACAACAAGTTTCTAAGGTATACGAAGGTCAGTTTAGAGAACTAAGACACAAAAACTATTGGCCAACTTACACTGGCCCAACTTTGTGTCCAAATCCAGAACTGAAAAGAACTTCAAAGGGTCGACCCAAGTCCAGCAGAATAAGAACAGAGATGGACATTACAGGACAACAAAATCGTGCAAAAAATTGTTCCTATTGTCGCACTCCTGATCACACAAAGAAGACATGTCCAAACATTGGTCATGCATCTAGTTCTGGCCATTAATTTCTTTCTTTGTACTAAGTTATAAAGAAAAAGGAAAAGCTAACTTGAGAGGACGTTGTATTAATAAATGTCATAGTTTTACTTCCCACGCTGTAGCTCCTTCAATCACTTTTGCATATTAATATTAAAATTTCTCATGTTGCATTTAAAATGAAATACTTATTCAAAATAATATTATTATATTAATATTCATAATTCATAACACATATTTACATATTCAAATAAATATATATCCAAACATTCTTTATTATTTTTATTAATTTGATATACAAATATTTTTTTTAAATTCAAATGCTTATTCAAAATAATATTTTTATATTAATATTAAAAATTCATAACACAAATTTACATATTCAATATAATATTCTTTATTATTTCACATAATATAAATATATAATTATTATTTCACACAAATTAACATAATATAAATATTTATTTTCACATAATATAAAAATAAAAATATAATTCAAATAATAAATTTTATTTTATTATTTAAAATAATCTTTTTATTATTAAATTTGATAATATATAATTATATAAACATAAAATATTACATAATATTTTTTTATTATATAAAAACAAAAAAAAAATAAAACAAAAAAAATTAAAATTATGTCTGGAATTCGGTTGCCCCAAAACCGAATTCCATCAACAAATCTATCTTAGGAACGTCAAATAGAAGACCAGGATTCGGTTCCCAGGGACACAATTTCTATACCTCAACAGTAAAAGGGTTTAATTTGATAAATAATTATAGGAGAATTTCAGTATTTTTATTTATTTTTTATATTATTTTCATAAAAAACTTATCGTAGTTTACTGAACTATATATAATTATTTCTGATAGAAAAGTATATAATTTAAATAAATAAAAATAAAAATTTAAAAAGAAGTCATGAAACATTTAAACTGCATCAATTTTTTTAGATTACTTTATTATTATTTTAAATTTAAGTAAAATAGATAATTTCTCGCTCTTTTTTGTACTGATTAAGTAATTTATTTACAAATTTATTTTAAGTTAATTAATTAATTTTTATAAATATAATTTTTATTAAAATTTAAAATTGATATTATAAATTAAATTAAAATAATCTGTTAATTAATTTACATGTTCAGTAGTTTATATATCTAGTTTGATGTATAAATTGTGTTTCTTTTACTTTTTTAAATAATTATATTTTAATTATAATGTACAATTAAATAACAGAAATTGCTTTGTGGTACGAAAATACATGCACTTAATAGTAATTCACTTTCTAAATTTATTATTTTCATGTAAAATTATTTGTACTGTCTCACAGTATTATTGAACAATTATTTTTATTATTACAAGGTCGATATTTAAGATTTTTATTTAGTAACCAAATTAATCAATTTATAAATTTCTAAATAAATTATTTTTAAAATCTTGCTTAAATAAGAGTATATTTAAGAAGTATACATTATAAAGCTATGCTGAAAATTGATTACTTCTCTAGAAATCTTATAGACTAAAATTCTTAGATGAAAGTACATATTTTCTCTTGGAAAAGAAATCTTAAAGATAATATCAGCCAAAACCATTCTCTTTTATGAAGAAGTATAACTGCTATTTAGGATGATTTTTATTCAGGCCTTGGCTGGATCCTTGGTACTAGATTGACTGCCCGATTCTGGCAGGACAACTGGTCCAGAGATAGTCAAACTCTTTCTAATATTGCAGTTTCGCAGCAGTTAGCACGCCCAGATCCTTTCAACAAGCACGGGGTGCTTCGAGCCCATGCATGATCCTGCTTAAGGCCTTGCATGACCGTGCTCATCTGCGAGAAGCTCAATTATCAAGAGTCTTTAGGGTTTTCAAACCCTATTAAAAGGTTTTTGACATCTAGTCTTTGATTTTTGGATACACTTCTCATCTCGTCTTTTTCTTGCACAGGATCCTTGGCACATTCTTGGCGAGACTTGGAACTTCAAGCGATCGTACTTGAAGACCGAAAACACATCTCATACTCTAGTTTGATATTTCTTTTGATTATGACTTTGTTTATTATTGTTTTAATTCTTTTCTTTAGCATGAGTAACTAAGTCCATAACTAGGGCTATGAGAACTATTGTTCATGAATTTATAGAGTTTTGACATTTGAATCTAAATTTTATTTTCGTTTCGTGATTAGATTTTATCCTATTGTACTTCTCTCTTACTCCTAATTAATTATATCGTCAGGCGACCGTACCTTGGTTAATTAATAGATCTATAGGGTAAAATGAGACAAAGGATTAAGTGGACTAAACTAATCTTTCTCTTTTAATCGTTATTAAATTAACAAGTTCATAGGTTCCTTAAACTTTCTTAAATTGATGTCTTGCATGACCATTGGGGATGCTAATTTAGAGAAAAGAATATTAATATTGCATGACCATTGGATATTAATAGTATTCGTATGAATGATTGATAATCACAAGGAAATTGAATTTAGAGTTAAACAGAAGAATAGCATAATAGATTGCATGAGAAAACCCATATGCCCTAGGTTCTTCTCCGATAAGTTTAACCAAGACGTACATTGTATTCCTTACTCTTAATTTATAATTAATTTTATAAATTCTTGTTTTAATTAATCTCATATCTTTGAAGCTTAAACAATTGAATTAGGAAATTTTTAGTAATTGGAAAACAATCCTTATGAGACGATATTTTGGGAACTTAATTTAAGAACCCTTTATTACTTCTCGATAGGTACACTTGCCCTCCGAACAAGTTTTTAGAAGTAGTTCCTAATTATATGATTGTTATTACATGTTCTTGAGTAAAGTATCTATGCTATTTTTTATGATAATTTAAAACTTTTTCCCTCATGGAACCCAATTTTTCCAGATAGAAGAGCATGTTGAGTGATTATTATTGACATTATACTTTCATTTGGAAACTAATAATTAGCTAAGTTCCTTACTTTTATGCTCTACATTAAACTTTAACTCACAGATGTGAGTTTTGAGCCTTAAAAGGGATTTCTATCTTAATTTAATTAATTGTACCCCTTTCCTTATTGTCTTGTGTGATTATCTCCTTAAGATTTGTGCTCTAGAACTTGACTTGCAACTGATGTAAGACTTCTCTTTTTAATTGCATGTTTTTAATATGATTGAGACATAATAGGATTTTTATTCTTGGCTTTCAGCATGTTTGAGATACAACTAGTTGCCCACTTTGAGCTTTATTGATTTTCTTGGTCCCTTGCATTAAATTTATAAAAAAATATTTTGATGACCTTGAGTTTATGAATGGAGCAATTGAGTTGTTGAATTGTTTGATAAATTCTCCTCTACATATCTCATGTGCAAAAAGAAAGAAAGTATGAAAAAGAAAGTGAAAAGAAAAGAAAAGAAAAGAAAAAGGGTTATATATTATTGAAAGGAGAGAAGAATAAAGATATTGTTCACATACAAAAATATAAAAATTACTCTAAGAGCTTCATTTGTAAACTTAGGGGATGTTTATAATTGTTATAATTTATTACCCCCTTTGTATATTCCCTTTCTTTCATTTATCTCACCTTAATTATTATAACCCCTTGGCCACATTATAACCTGAAAAAGACCTCATGATTTTTACTTGCATTTAATTGATTTAGTGGAGAGTCAGTTTATAGTTAAGTCTATGGTAGTACACTCTTCTTTAGGAGAACTGAGTGATATCTTATTTTGTCCCTTAGTGAGATAGGAAAGTAGAGTACCTCAGTTTGATATTTGAGTGAAAAGTATGGAAATATAGATTCTAATTGTGAATCCTTTTGATTGCTTATGCTCAATGATGTTACTCTTGTTGCTCTCTTTATCTTCTTATCTCGGGTTCCTTGTGTGGTATTATGTTTTAAGTTATTATATTATTCTTTTAACCAGCACTTTGCTTGAGGACAAACAAACAGATAAGTATGGGGGAAGTTGATAAGTCTGTAATTAGGCCATTTTTTACAGCCCATATGTTCATATTTGACCTTTATTTTATTTGGGTTTTACACTAATTTAAATATTAATTGTGCAGTTTGGTATAAAGAGGCCGCAAATGAATTTTGGGTGCATTATGGGCCTAAATTGATGGAAGATTAGAACTTCACAGCAGTCAGCACGCCCATACCCTTTCAACAAGCACGGGGGTACTTCGACCCATGCATGGTCGTGCTTAAGGCCTTGCATGGCCGTGCTCATCTGCGAGAAGCCTAATTATCAAGGGTCTTTAGGGTTTTCAAACCCTATTAAAAGGTTTTTAGCATCTAGTCTTTGGCTTTCGGATACACTTCTCATCTCGTCTCTCTTTTGCACGAGATCCTTGGCACATGCTTGGCGAAACTTGAAACTTCAAGCGATCGTACTTGAAGACCGGGAACACATCTCATACTCTAGTTTGATATTTCTTTTGATTATGGCTTTATTTATGATTGTTTTAGTTCTTTTCTTTAGCATGAGTAGCTAAGTCCATAGCTAGGGCTATGGAAACTATTGTTCATGAATTTATGGAGTTTTGACGTTTGAATCTAAATTTGATTTTCGTTTCATGGTTAGATTTTATCTTAT